TCAACAACTTGTTCTGAATAACCAAAAGGCTCAGGATGTTGATATTTAGTTAGTAGCATATGCTGGGATCAAGGACTACTATGTTTGTTAAAGTGAATGACTTTGACTTATATTCAAGGTCACAGGGGTCAAATTTGTTTAAAATCTTTAAACAACCTCTTATGAATAACCATGGGTCCCAGGATGTTTATACTTTGCAAGTTGCATCCTGAGATGAAAGGCTATACAATGTGTTCAACATAATGACTTTGTTCGACTTTCAATCGCAGGGGTGAAATGTTTTTAAAAAAAACTAACAGGGTCTTTTGAACGAATTTTAATCATAAAAACTGATATTTTGCCTGTAGCTTTATTTTAGATCACTTTTAAGGTTACAAGTGTGAGTTTAAAACCAGGTGAGCGATGCAGGCCCATTGGGCCTCTTGTATTAACCCACCAGGAAGTCTGTATTATTGAAATATTTAAGAATGAGGTAAGGCTTAGTCCTCAGGTTCTGGGTTGTTACCTTGAATCTGGAGATGAGGTTTAGCCAGGTCTCAAGATTGATTTTCCAAGTACATGTACTGACACTCATACAGAAGTTTGACCAATTTTTAATAAATTAATCAAAATCAGTTTATTTATAACAATAGGAAGGGTTATTAAAAGGAATAGCAGGAGATGCTATAGTGAAAGTATTGCTTTAATTAGAAGTGTGTTTGTAACACTAGTTAGAATCGGCTGTAATTTAGGCTTAGTATCTATGTTAAGCTTGTTTGAGGTTTTGAACATGACAGTATCGTCTCTATACTGATGTACGTACAGGTCCCTGAGATCATCATATATCCTCTGTGTATACATGCCCTGCAGGTGTTGGTGAATTCTGAATTAATTTTTAATCTTAGAATATCTGACCAATTCTATGGGGAAATTTTATCTTCAAATTAAACAGAGATAATTAATGTAAAAGTTAACGAGGACCAAGGAGCTTATACATCAAAAGCAAATGTTTCAGAAAGTTGAATGTTGCTCTTTTCTTTAGTGGTCACATTAATGAGCTACCTGTGATGTAGGTACACATACACACAAGAAAGGATGTACACGTAATTACTCCTAACCAGAAAGTAATGACCATCCATACAAACACTATAATAGTGTCAAATGCCAAGTGGTCCCTCCTCCCCCAGTCCTTCTCAACATCATCCACTATCTCCTTGATAACTGATGTTGATGAGAAGGGTGGATGACCTTCGGGGTACTTACTACACAGTTATGTTTCCTGTCCTGGAGGACTGACGGTGGACTGAATTGCTCTCTAGATACTGACACTAACAACATGTTTCTGCTCCTGATTACTACTGGTGAGGATTACACTGAATTACCCACTGTCACTGGTGACTTACAACACAGAGATATGTCCCTCTCCTTGACAACCGATATTGATAAGACTGGACCGTGTTTTTGATAATGATGATGATGATAATGATTTGAAAATGATTTGATGGTCTATCAGCCATTGTTAGGTGATATGTTGGTATTTGACCCCCAACATCAGGAGTGCCACCTACCCCCACAACACAAGCAATCCTGACCCAGGGTTAGATGTACCTGTTAAACCCTTTCATATTCACCATTCAGCAATTATTGGATCATTTAAATTATTAATCACAACACAATAACCATATAACAAATTGATGGGCATAGCTTGAAAACATTCGAGATCTCCTACTTATAACATTATAATAAAGAAAGTCGTGTTAGTTACAACTTTTTTTATTAAACTATCTTCTTTGTTATACCATATCACTTGGACATTTAAATACGGTAATTTCTTGGTTTTGACACCTGAAATGGTCAGAAAAACATGTTTTCTCTTTATGTCACGTTCCGGTTTATATCACATTTTCATCTGACAAATCAGAAGTGATTATAAGCGTAATCTACTGTACCTGTTTACTGGGCATGAGGAGTACAAACAGTCATGCTTTCAGAATTGTCCCTGGGGATAAAGTACCATAGTCATAACATGAAAAAGTTCCAAGATCTCCCTTTAACGGTATACAGTTTTATACAAATCTCAACCAAATTTCTGATGAAGCATCGATCATTGAGATGAAAAAAATGCAAAATGTTTGCTAAACTGTCCAGGTGAGTAACACAGACAAACTTCAGGGCTTCAAGTTTTATTTCACAGGAATGATTGCCTTGTAACTTATGATCTCTCCGGACATATCACAGTATTGACCATCTCTCTGTCCACCAATGTTCTGTAACTTCACTGTTTAGCATTGCTAACTGATCTTTACTAACCTTTATTTGATTTTGGTACTTGGCAACAGGCAGACATCAATACTTTTTCAGGTTATTTCATCAAAAGTCATTATCATTTCATGGTGTCCACCACCTAACTTCTAATTGTCAAGCTTTTCTTCACTAACTTCATAGTTACACTTGTACCTGTAAGGAGTACATGCCTGCACTTTTTCAGATATTTTTCATCAGATGTAAATGTTATTCTGTAATATCCTTCACATGTAATGTAGATGTGTGCACATGTAGTAATATTAAAGTTGAATAAAAAAATCAGGACTTTTTTATGTTTGAAATCTAACCAGAAGATAATTTGAAAGTTTTGAAAGTATTTGTACTGATTTGACTCTACAAAATGTCATTTGTTAGGTTGCGCCACTGTTTGTGGTAGACTGATGCAGTGACGATATAAGGGCAGTGAATCAATAGTTACTCTGCACAAACAACTCCAACAACTTCAAATTAATATTGATTAACTGTCACACTCCTAAAGCAGAAACATATGGGAGATATGTCATATAATCTCCAGCTTACATCCAAAGTAAACGTACGAGGTGTTGGTCACCGGTGCTTAACGTGTTTATGTAATCTCTGTTATCATATTATTGTTTTTCTGAGGACTGCTAGTGATTCTAGATATCAACCATCATTAGCACAATCTTCATTCAATATTTTAAAAAAAATGCTTGTCAGCTAAACTTGTTATGGGAAACTGCTTCAGACTAAAATTTGTCCTTGAAAATGTGCAGTCTCTTATGATGTTAATTTGATAAAATGTGATTTGATATTTTATGTTGTTTGAAATCGTTCTGTTCTTTAATTAGATTTTTTTTTGCCAAGAAAAGTTGGTCTGTAGCTGGTCTTTCAGAAAAAGTTTTTTCTACGATGATATTCTCTCTGTAGGTGTCTCTGTCTGTCCGTCTGTTCTGTTGGTGTCTCTGTCTGTCCGTCTGTTCTGTAGGTGTATCAGTCTGTCTGTCTGTCTGTAGGTGTGTCTGTCTGTCTGTAGGTGTCTCTGTCTGTAGGTGTCTATCTGTCCGTCTGTAGGTGTCTCTGTCTGTCTGTAGGTGTCTCTGTCTGTCTGTCTGTAGGTGTCTCTGTCTGTCTGTAGGTGTCTCTATCTGTCTGTCTGTAGGTCTCTCTGTCTGTCTGTCTGTAGGTCTCTTTGAGCAGGATTGTCTACCTTTGATCTCCTTCCATTACTTTGGTCTATGATAAGAGGTTTGGTTGTTCTATTTATATGGTCTGTCAGGACAAAATTGAGTTGCTGTGACTTGCCAATTCTATTGTCGACTTTGTCCTTCAAGAGAAGTGTTAAAATGACATTTATCTAAATGCATTCATAGCTCTATGAATGCTATTTCTTCTGACAGCAGTTATAAAAGGATTTGCAGTGGAAATGTAAATAAATATTAATGAATTAATGAAACTTCTTATGCATGCTTGCATATTGATGAGTGTGTGATCATTATGTTCCATTTCTTGTCTTCTGTATGAAAAAGACCTGACCAAACTGCAAAAGAATCAGGAAATCTACATACAAACGATTGTATGCAAATTATTAGCAATGATAAATCTTCTGTGTTCATTATATTTCCAGTTGGATGAGGCTGTGTTACTCTGTGAACCCTAATGGCAAGATCCAAGTTAGAAGGTAGGTATTAGTGTGTAATTGATGGTAAGATGTATCAAGTTTGATGTCGTAGGTCAGTCCAGCCTTGACAGTTACTGATAGAACTCTTGAAGCTACTATCCCGCTCGCATTTTTCACATCTTTTTCACACTGAATGAAGACAAAATTTCCTATAAATGATAAATGCATATAGATAACTGTTTCAATAAATACAAGTTTCATATTAGACATATATTCTTTCAGTATCACAAGAACGTTTGCATCAGGCAGGACAGAGAGGATGATAATGCAGTGTTTGAAAGACCTAGGACTGCCAGGTGGAAAGGTAAAGTGACAGAAGATTTCTGTGGAAAATAAGTAGGCTCCTTATCACAAAAGGTGGAAAAGAATTGGCCTGTTGGCGCCCATTGTATGTCCTCATGAAGTGACTTGTGGACTCCCTAGGAGTCTGAGGAACTCTCTGTTGTAGGCTTTTATATTTTCTGTCTCTTATACCTACTTTCTTTTTGGTAGTGTACCCCAGGTCACCTCTGGTCATCCCGTTGGTAGTGTACCCCAGTCCCCTCTGGTCATCCCGTTGGTAGTGTACCCCAGTCCCCTCTGGTCATCCCTTTGGTAGTGTACCCCTGTCCCCTCTGGTCATCCCTTTGGTAGTGTACCCCTGTCCCCTCTGGTCATCCCGTTGGTAGTGTACCCCAGTCCCCTCTGGTCATCCCGTTGGTAGTGTACCCCTGTCCCATCTGGTCATCCTGTTGGTAGTGTACCCCTGTCACCTCTGGTCATCCCGTTGGTAGTGTACCCCTGTCACCTCTGGTCATCCTGTTGGTAGTGTACCCCAGTCACCTCTGGTCATCCCGTTGGTAGTGTACCCCTGTCACCTCTGGTCATCCCGTTGGTAGTGTACCCC